CCCCAAAACCCCAAAACCCCTTAAAATAAAAATATCCAAAAAATTAAGGAGATAAATATTTAAGCTTAGTTATTAACAATTATCCCAATTATTTAAAAATCAATAGATACAACAATAAAACCAAAGTTTAATTATATTTAATTCCATATTACTTAGGAATCAAAGAAATCAGAAAGAATCATTTTCATCAGTTTAGTAAGCTGTGCTAACTTAACTAGTATGGAGTAGATTAAATAAAGTCATTGAAGTGTTAAATTTATCACAAATATCCTATTCATTATCATTAGAAATTTATTTTTACAATAGACTTTTATCTATACCAGTTTTAATAGTAATTAGCGGCATCTATTGCTTAATATGTTTTAATAGATTTCCCCAAAGCTATTTATAAGGTTTTCTTAATTCCATAGTCTACTTTTAATCTGCAAAAGTAGAACTCTTACTATGAAACAATTTCTAAGATTTAGAAATTGGATCAATAATGGTGAATGGTCTTGACTAATCTATTTAAATGTTTTTATCAGCTTTTGTTGGATTAATAAATATGAATTATCTTGCATCAATAATCAGATTAAACTCTATAATTTATTGCATTAATTGGATTATTTCTATAAATAAATCGCATTCCTGTGTTGTCTAATCATAAATATCCAGATTTTATTGAACAATTTCTACACATCTATCAATATCAAACATGGCTATATTAGTTTCATAGGAGGCCTTAATTAATTGCCCCAATTTTATTTCATCAATTTTTTTGTGTGAAAACGAGAATTCTTGAATGTTTTCCTTATCTCTGTTTTCATATATTCTATATTGAACTTATTATGTTATTAATTTTTCATCATCTGATATAATTTTTGGTAATATAGGATGTTTCCTATAAATTAGATAAGTAAGTATTATAAGCTAAGTCTCATAAGGTGTCAGAATGTTATGGGAATCTGAATTTTGGGAAAAACAAGGATAGCCAGTTTAGATAATAAATTATATAACAACTGCAAGTTTGTGAAACCTTGAATCTAGCTAAAAGTAAGTTTACATAAGTTTTGCTTAAAATATCCCTACTCTATTGTTTATTTAAATATCTATTTGAAATTCAGATGCAGTATCTTTTAATCTTAAAATAATTGCCTCTCTAGTATGTAATACTTCAGCTTATTTGTAATATTGGGAATATTTTTTATCGATATACCATTTAATAAGATTCAGAATATACTCAAAGTCTATAGATTCCTTTTACTCTGTTTGAATTTCTAGAGTTAGATCAAATGACTTGATGTCTACAGTTAAACTTCCATCTGCGACCTAGCCTGTGTAATAAAGATTCCATTCGTATTTCTCTTATATCTCAGGAATCTATGAAATTAGATCTTCAAACCTATCTCTGGCAATCTCAATTACTTTGAGATTCTCTTTTTTATGAACGTTGAGTTTGTCGAATATGTAATCTATCTGATTTTGAAGATAAGCTTAGTACTATAGTTATTTTACTCTATCTCTAATTAGTTCATTTGCTTTAATATATTAGTCCTCTCTTATAAGGTAATAACCATACTTAAGAGGGTATACCACCTCATCAAACTCTGTGTCAATATTAAGCTGCTGACTCAATAGAAAAATTTAATAGTGAAACTCTAAAAATTTCAAGCCTGTCTCTTACGATGCAACTAAAATTTAATGTCTAAGATAGTCAAGTGTGAGATTTATGAAATATTTCAGTTTGTTTCTCGATTTTGGATCATATTAATATACTTCTTCATCGAGGCTGATTTTCCCTTCATGATAGATTTTGATCAGTATCTAAATGTTCTGAAAGAAAAACTACTGAATTTAGTCAATAACTCCGTCCTTGTCGAGTACTACTAAAACTTTTTGTATTTAAGTTTTGATCTTGTGCTGAATTTACGATATTATCCTGAGTGCTCTCTCATTTAAGGGTAAAATTGATTGTCCGTCTTTCCCAAACTTGAACTACTTTGATCGTAAATGCTCATTAAATTTGACTTCCATGATGATCCTAAATTATATATATTCTGCAATATTTGTTGTCGCTTTAATTAAACCGATGTGAGTTTAAATTTATAATTATCATATTTTAAAATACGTTAAAAATTATTCAAGCTTTAAATATACTTCATTTATCATTGCCTTTATCCTCCCCTGTCTGTCAAATTACCTGCATTTTCGTTGAGGATTTGATTGAGCTTTTTCTTTTTGAGTTAAGTATTTTAAGCTTTACTATTTACAATAGGATTCAATCCCTGAAGTTGAGAACCCACGCCCATAGCTCCACTCATAACTACGATAGGATGCTGCTACTGAGCATTGTGCTAAATTTACTAGGTTTGATTGAAGTTTGTAATGGGCTTGATATATTATGATTGTGATTATTGAAGCATGGGTTGCTATCCTTGAATATGCTTTGTAGGAATATGCTAGTTAGTTATATTATTAGAGTACCTGATGTTAGACTGCGATAATTATTTTTGCAATTCATTGTAAGATGCTTTGTTGATCTTATTCTTTGCTAGATTAGATGAAGATGCCCCACGCCCAGTATTGCTTCCACTTGAATTTAAAGCCATGGAGTAATTCTAATGCTGCTGCTTGCTACTAATGATCTTTTTGCTATTGTAAGTAGCAGCAGTAGTTCCTGAATTCCCTAAGTTATTTTATCTGGTTTAACTGGCATGAGACTACTGCTATTGCTAGCCTTAGTTTAGATTAGGTGGAGCTCCCAGATATAAATTCATGAAGTTACTGTTTTAAAGTCCTACATTTTAATTTGCTAGAATATGATCATGAAGGTATTCATCTTGAATTTACTGTTGCATTAAAAACTTCAGATTATCAGTTGAGTGACCAGTGGGCATCTAAAATTATATTTAAGCATATTAATGATACTTACACTCTAAGTCATGTTAAGAGACATCTATCCTGTGGTCCTTGAGTTACCCTACTTAAGATTTATGTAGTTATTATATTGCTATATAAGATTCTTTTATCCATCCTGGTTCGCTGTTTAAGGCTTGATATTAATAGCGGTCATATTTTATGATTGACTTCTTTTATGAGTCAGATTGGATAAGCTACCTTAACTGTTTGAATTTTACAGTAGTTAGCTATTTTGATTTTCAGAGGACTGATACTTGCTGGGGCTCTTTGACTTAATCTTTTAAAAAGAGTCTCTGTAGAACTTAATCTATTCATTTTTTATCTTCATCATCTCCTTCATTGACTTAAACTTTGACAGCTCATTCTAATGTAGATTATTTGTTGAACCTGTTGAGGACATTATGTAAGTCCCTGCTGTCTAACTATTACTATTTCCTTAATTAATACTGCTAATATTCATAGTATTTAGTCCATTGCTAGCAACTCTATTGAGGTTTCTCTTATTTGCACTCTTATTGCTATTCTCCAAAAATTCCTTAAAAAATTATTTAGAATATTAATTACTAATCTTTCCATTAAAGCAAGGGTATCAGTGCCATCTGGTATTTTCTTCCTTAGACTAAACATATCCTCTCCTTCATCAATGTTATCAAAAGTCCTCATCGTCTACAGCTATGAACTTCGCTTCTCAGATACTGATCTTAACTGATTCCGGGCATCATCCAATTCCTTTTATAAGTTCAATATCTTTGTATTGTACTCGGCCTCCATCTACACTATTTTTTTTTGTAGATTTTAGTTTTCAGTAACAAGGTTTAAGTCAAAGTTTTCATATTTCCTTTTGAAGTCAGAGAGTTCTCTATCTCTTAAGGATAGCAATTCTTCAAGTCTTTCCTTATCTTTTTTAAGCTCTTTAATGCGTTCTTGATTTTAAGTGTGGTCTATGAGTTACTGCTTTTCTTAATCTTCTATTTTCTATAGGACATTGTCCAGGTGAATCTTCAATTGTTGCTCAATCTAAATTGTCATTTAATATTATCGATTATTTACCCTGATATGATTACGGACATCATTTTCTAGCTTCTATATTTGATTTTCATATTCTTAAGGAGGCTCTATACGGCATGATGACTAATCACTAAAGAAATCAACAATTGACGATGCATCTCCACTCTTGAAGTTCGTAGCCACTCTTGGTTTATTCTCTGGCTATTACTTGCCTATGGTGACAATGTGGTTATTAGGTTTGATAATTGAATTGTAGATTTCAGTTTTAATAAGAATGATGTGGCTTACCCTTCTTTAATTCTCTTTCCTGCTCTTCAAGTTTTAAGCTCAGCAGTATTTCTATTGAAGATTTGATATACTCAATAATAATGAAGGGGTCTATGTCTTTAAGTTGCTCCTTCTCTTCCTTTAACATGTCTTGGTTGTAATTGTCAATCTAATACCAAATATAAAAATCGTAATAGTAAAAAAACAACGAATTTGAAATGATAAATGAATAAATTTCTTTTGATATGATGAGTGTTGCTATATTAGCTCATAATGACTTACATCCTCTGAATTTCTGATCTTGACGTTAAGGTATAGATCGATAATTGCATCCTTGAGAGACAAGTCTTTTAAATCTTCATTTAGGATGTCCAGAGCTATTTCCCCATCGTGGCCACCTTCAATAGTAAAAGAACGAGAATTAAAATTTGACATTTATGAATTTAGATTTTATAAATCAAATCATTTTAAATTCTATAATAGACGGGGTTTTGGGGTTTTGGGGTTTTGGGGTTTTGGGGTTTTGGGGTTTTGG